AACCAAGACCTAGCCAAAGCGTGTCCGCTAACATCGGTGCTTTGAAACATGAGAAATTTCATCTCCTCCATCCCATCTACCCCTCAAATACATACGTGTGTATATTGCTAGAGAAAACCCAAGGGCTGCTTTGCGTGGCCCGGAGCTGCAGAAGGGTGCAGGAGGGGGCTCTGTTCCAGCCGGCGGGGATCTCCCGGACCCCGCTGCCACAGGAGGCTGGCACTGGGCAGCCTTGGGCAGCCCGGCTCGTTTGCTGTCCCCAGCCCCAAGGAGCTGCAGCATCCTGGGCTCAGCGATGGGGCCCCGGTATAAAGCCGTACATTAACTCACACCTTACTCAGGAGCTATCAGTGGCCACCACCTTTGCAGCATTTAAGTTACGCCAACTAGAAAGAAAAAATAAACCGTGCGGGCCAAGTGGGGGAAATAAAAAGAGCTCCTTGGTTTCCAATCAAGGATTTTGATTCAGAAACCTCGGGTCGGTAGCAATTCTGCCTGCCTGTTCCCTTTGGTGTGCGTTTGTGGCTCCTCCTGAAGGCAGCATCGACACCCCGGTAACTGTGGGTGCCGTTTGGCTCTCACGTCAAGCAGACTGCTTCCCAGCAGCTGCAAAATGTTCTTACTATGGCGCACAGAGCAGTTCAGGTCACAAATCTACTTATCTTCATAGCATTCCTTAAGTGTCCCAAAACTCCAACCTGGCTATAAAAGTCACCAGGTTTAGTCACCAAGTTTATGCATTAATTTTAGAATGACAACAGTAAGATTAAGTTAAAAAGAGTTTTAAAAAGCACACTCTTCATTTTAATGCTGGCATGAATTCTGCACATCAAAACCGCAACTATAAATACCCAAATCTCTTAAATATGGGCAGCGTCTATCACTTTTTACTAGTACCTCTTTACTCAGTTAGCAATAGCTTACTGGTGGATATATATGTATCTATAAGTAACAGTACTAATCCATAAAACATCACTTTGGGCTATATGTATAAGGGGATAGAAAAGCTTTGGTAGTTGTATGTGATTTTACACTGCAGAGTTGTCATTAACACAAGACAGCAAGCTACCAGCAAGAAGAAATTATACTGGCGGTAATACTTTTGCTTTTCCAGAAACACCGTAGGGACTTACATTCAAGCACACACATTATGCTTTTCTAGATGTGTGACAAAGACTTTCAAGATTAAAAAAGTAAGAAATTAGTTATAAATAGCTGTAGATCTGACCAATTTGCTCAGGTCTGAGGCTGCAGTTAGACATCGCTCTCTGTTGTCCCAAAGAAAGGCTTGCTGTACTGCACTGTACCTATAGGTGCTACAAGGCTTTCAGTCAAGACAATGGCAGGATTAGGATTATCCAAAAGGCACAGGGAAGGATTTCACGGGCACGATGCCAACTTCACTGAAAAACCTGATTTGCTTAGACACATCAATCATATTCCTGTGTACTCAAAGTAAACAGCTTTTAATGCAGTACCGTGTTGACAAATGTACCAACTATAACTTCAAGTCCATTAAGAACTCTGCTGCGGTCTCTACAGTAAACCCAGAGTCTCGTACCCAGAGCTAGGAAGCTAAATCTCAACTATAATAGTATTTCTATGAGTGCAGAAAAGTCCCTTTTCTGGTATATGTATCAGTGTACCATCTCCAAAATGCAAATACAAGACCTGTATTAGCACAAGAAGTGTTCAGGAAGTGCTCCAAAAATAGCTTTTAAAAATTTCTCAGTTTAAATGTCTGCAGCAGAATTAACTAAAGTACACTTTTCAGTGCAGTTAGGTGAATTCTGCTTTGGGCATTTTGAAAAAAAGCCATCCTTTAAGACTGTTTTGGTGACATGAACTTGTATGACATATTTCAATATGGTACTCAATTATGAACAAAACTAGGCATATATAAAGGCACTAGCTAAAAAAAAAAACCTTTTCATTTTGATATACTGAACAGATTGTTTAGCTACAAATCAAATCGCAAACCACGTTAAAATTTTAAGACTATACTTAAATTGTCAAGAAAAAAAGTCTATGTAGATTTAACTTTGCAACTATTAGATCCATACCTTTTTAAGTCCTTGCATGGGTATTTCTATCACCCAAATTAAAAATAAACAACTTGCTCTAATATGAATGAAACTTTCAGTTGCACTCTTAACAGGATAACAGCATAATAAAATTCATCAGTAGATAAGTAGGTACTTTGAAAATATGCATACTCACTGTGAACCTCGATCCTTATTTTTTGAGACCATAGCTTCATTGTGGCATTTACAGAAAAGCAAAACAACCCTGCAACAGTAGTGTTTTCATTGGCATTTTCCAGTAATTGAATTCAACAATCAAGAATAATTCATGATACTAAAATGCTGGTATCTCTGTTAGTAAGATATTAGAAGTTGTGAGCAGGGTCTTGGCTCTGCAACCCTCCTCCAACAGAGTTTTAAGGATGCAATTCCACGTGCCCTCGCCAATTCTGGAACTAGAGTTTGTTCGTTACGATGGCAGTAGTCAATGTAAGTGTTTTACAGACATTGTATACAGAGGTACTAAGTTATTTAATGCAGCTTGCTTTAATACTTTACCCCAACAGGGAATAAATATTAGCTAACCGTTTGGTAAAAGTCCTATTTAGCTTTGTAATTACTTCTAGCTCAAAACATTTCTGTTAATAACCATTTAATTTACTGCAAATTGCTTAAGTCAGTAGACAAATTCTCCATAGGGTGAAAAAAAACCCAGCTCAAGTCTAATCTTGGTTAAACTTCTAAAATTTTACTAGAATGACTGGAACTGGCAAATGTAATTTTCATTTAAGCAGCACTGTCTTTACAGTGACATTTTTCTGATATGTCAAAGAAATTAAGGAAAATGCATTCTGCAAATTCTTTTTTTCCTGGCTCCAAAATGCTTACCGTTGTCATGACTGAATGCCATTTTTTAGAAAAGGCACAAAAGCAGCAAACTTGATTATTCAGTAATTAAAAATCACAATGAGGAAGTGATATTGCAATATACATGAGCCAGCACTGTCTCACACAAAGGACCCATTATAAGAAAACTAGATTCTGAAAATTTTTAAGCTTCAGAGAGTGCAGTTTCTTTTTAGAATAGTATGTTTAAATGTTTTGAATGCTACAGATAAACCTGGTTACATTTTCCCTTTAATGTCCTTTTTTGGTAAAATAAAATTTTCTTACCTTTTCAGATAGCACTGTCCACTACGGATTTTTATATACATTTTCACCTTGGTTTTGGTACCTTCTTAATCTGTGTGGAAATCGGTCATTTCAATTATATGATCTTTAAATTACCTATATAAACTATTAGGCTTTACGTTAAACCTCCCATCCCTACTGTCACTAAATTTTGTGTAGAAAGCAAAGATCCTTTACAGCAGAGTACATACCAGTTCTTCCTAAAGGCTGCTCTCATAGCTTTTATCTAGTGACAGCGAAGAAAAAAAAGTCAGTACAAGTTGACTTTCCTTTCAGTCTTCTAAGCTTTCCCTGGTCTGACTAGTTCTTCCCATGCTCAGAAAACCCTGCACAGTGGTGTACTCTGACTGAGAAAATTATAAACTGGGTAAAATACTCACATGAACCAAATAAGCCACTACACTCAGTCTCAGGAGAGATGGTCTCAAAAAAAAAAAAATCATTCTTACTCCACTACAGGTAAAGTGATTGAGATAGATCCATACTCCTGCTTATGGTCTGGTACAAAATTTGGAAGTTAGCAGAATAAATTTAGATATCTCACAAGTGAACTGCCATGGGAATGGGTATAAGCTTATTGCTCTATCTCCATGCACTTCATAATTCTGATAGTCCTCTAAAGATATAAAACAGGTAGAGCCTTGTCAGAGCGGACAAGGTTCACAGTACCAGCCCACTCTGCCTTTACAAAACAACAAAAGCAAGCAATGAGTCATCCAAAACAGTATACATTATTTCAGTTCTGTAGTCCAATAGTTTATTTTCAATCGCCCTTTTAAATTATTTATGTTGTGTTCTTCTACAAAAATATGAGTTTGACTTTTCTGCCGTGAAAAGTCAGTTATTCACTACACCTGATCAGTACCTGGACTTCTCGATTGAGAAGCAGTATTTCAGAGTTTTACTTTTGTTCTTTTATTATACTCTTTCAGAAATGGAAAAAGTGATAACGTACGTTTCATGACAGTTGGAAATCTGACACCAATCATCTGGATTATCAGGCTGGAGTAATCATGTTCATGTTATTTAATTGCTGGCTCTCTGCACTTTTGGCCTACTCTCCATACAATCTTTTGTGCTGTGCCTCCTTGTTCAGGTGGATTCATCATCACTACTTTATTAAAAATATAACTGGAGTTTTATCTTTCTCAGTGACTTATTCCTGGTGTTAAAAGACATTTAACTTTATTTCAGGAATTTTCAACACATCCTAGATGACTCAACTGTGTTACTAAAACAAATTTTTTAGTGCATAATGGGAAGAATTTTATGTTATTCAGGCACTTGATGCTGACGTACATTCCATCCTAGCGCCTCTCAACAGCTTTGAAAATAATATTTCTTATAGCTCATTCTGAATTAAGTAACTCATGTACTGCACAAGGATTAGTCACTCCCTTTCCCTTCCAGCCGTTCATGGGATTGTGGAGCAGAACTGACTCTCAACATCACTATTTTTTCTTATCTAAGATAACCGTCTTCCCTCCAAGCTTATGCAACAGAGGTTCTCTTTGGCAGATACAGCAGGAGGCATTCTCCTAACTATTTACATCCAACAGCTGACCCTTGTCTATTACAGAAATTTTCCCCTTGCAGTCTAGTAGTTCCTAGGAGTCAGGGTCCATAATCTGTTTACCTGTAATTATTTTCCTATTAAGATAATACAAGAGTTCTACACCAAAACCTCTAACTAGTACATCAGTGTTGAGTTCTTTTTTGTTATTTTCTTTTGGTCACATAGAAGTACCTGTTAGACATGCTGTTGTACAAAGAGTTCCAAGTTCTTCCAGCTTTATCATTAGCATGTCAGAAACGTGTTCCAGCTTAAACTGTAAAAATCCAGAAACTGATTAAAATGCTAAAATATAATAAGAACTTAGAACTCTCTGCTGCAAGTACCGACAATATAAAGAAGAATCACAGAGAAGTAACCTTCTTATTCTTTAGCTGCATGTCTATTTTTCCCTGCACCCTGAGTCAGTCAGCGGTGTCAGAAAAAGTCACACAGTTCCTGACTGTCTGAACATTTGTCTTCCCCCCCTCCCCCCGCCTTTAAATAAGGAACAAATATGTACTAAAGTGCTTTATCTACATGAACCACATCAGTACATTAGAGAAACTAAAAGTTCTAGTCCTGGTGGGAGCCGGGGAGAGAAGATTCTCATTTTAGATACAAAATTTAGATTGTTTACAATCTAAGTGAAACAAAGATTCAAGAGAATATTCTCTCTCTTGTCTTTTTTCTCCTTTTTTTGTAAAAAATAAAAATAAAAGTGCAGTCAAATAGAAAATAAATGCAGTAGATGCAAGCTGAGTTGAGGCAGGCTGTTAGTGATAGTGTGCAAACGTGTGTCTTAGCAGTTCATCTGCAAATGGTCGCAGCTTGGCCTCGATAAAAATCCGTTTCAAGAAATCCCGAGCGTGGTCGGAGACATGAGGTGGTAGCTGGGGGTTGGTTGGCTGAGTGGCAATTTTAAAGATGGCAGCCATTGCTTCGAACTCTGCCCACGGGGGCTTCTCAGTGAGCATTTCTACCACTGTACAGCCTACGCTCCTGAAACAGAGGCAGAAGTGAAACAGCAGGTTACAACAGAGTCATGCCCTTCTAGGAAAGCAAGAAACAGCAGAAAGCAATGAAAATAACACAAATATGTGGCATCCACTTACCTCTACAGAGCAACTTCAACGGAAAACGGGGTTTTAAAAAAAATTGCATCCACAGCTATAGGCTTTTTCTCAAAGTTACACAAATCACTACCTACAACTTCACTTTATCACTTCACTGGGCCAAAAGCTACCACCTCAGTGAAGAGACAATTAGAGATTTCTCTAGGCGATACCAACTGTGTTGTGGTGCTGCTGCTATTCACTGCTCAGCAGGCTGATACATAAGCACTGCACAAGCCTTTTACCCCAGCAGGATTTGAATGCGCTTGAAAGCTTTCTTGCTCATTAAGGCCTAACGGAAATGCAAAGCAACAGGAATGCTCTGAAGTCAGAGTACACTGCATATTTTGCTAGCTCATTATAAATGCACAAGTTATCACCAATGAATAACACAGACTTAAAAAGTTTATAACCATACTTCAGTGGAATCTTCCTCTTTTAGCTAAGGATACCAAAAATATCCTTAGACTGCCAAATAAAATTTTAAGATCCAAAAAACATTTTTGTATACAAAGCTTATGTTTAAAGGATTTAGGAAGGCAGAACGGCATGCATAAGGCCAGAAAAACTTTGTTCCACAAGTCCAGCAAGATCAGCCTCTTCCAGTAACAAGCAAATGAAACTGCAAAATGGACAGGCAGGAATAATTACCCAATTTACAGGAAGTTTTATGTTTCTTCACGATGCTTGCAAGAAGTTTTACTGTTAGACAGAAGTACATTTCTTTACACAATACGGATTTACTGAATGACAGAAGTCCAGAATTTTTTCTTAGTTTTAACCCAGATTTTCTCCATCAAAAAAAATATACTTCCCTTGGTACAAATCCTTCAAAGTTGAACAAGTCAACTGCTTGAAATTTATAAGGCTGTTCTATTATTCAACTATAGCAAAATAATTTCTAAGTGATCTGAAGTAGGCTAAATTAATTTCCCTAACCTTTAAAAGTATCATCATTGGTTGGATATAATGTGGTTCCATTTCAAGCAGACAAAGTGTTACTACTCCTGCATATCTACTGTTGCCGACCCATTATTCTGTGTTTTCACAGGCCACCTGCAGTGCAAGGAGTCTAATCGCTAAAATCACCTGTCTGTTGGGCTGGAGCTATGTTAGACTATGTCATATTAAACATGTATCACAAACACTCATTTTTGAAAATTACTTTTCCCTCCTAATTCTTAAATATTTAATAACAACTTAAACCAAATTATTTCTTGATCCCTCCCCATTTTAATATGGCTAATTAATTCTTATGTACTCATCTTTTAAAGGACCAGCATTTCATCAAAGGTATTTTAGTGATAACGTTTCATTACAGATCATTGACTTAACTGATGTTTCAAAGTTTCACCCAGTACCTCTCCAGGATTTACAAACAGTCTGGTAATCCTAACTTCATGCAAGGTCAGTTCAAAGAATTCTCTTATGATCCCTAAATTGATAGTCAGAGGAATTGCTAAATGAAAAATACCCAAATTTCAGTGTTATACTCTCCAAATGACAGTCAGTGCTCACAGTTGCCACCTTCTTGTCTTAAACCCCAGGATGAAGCACTCCAACTTCAGATAACGAACACTTACATTCTGTTGAAAAGGAGCCCATTCTGAAATTACACCTTTCTGCCTTTCAGTAGAGACTTTTTTTTTTTTTTTTTTAAAAAAAAACATACCAGATATCTGCTTTTCTGCCATATCCTTCTCCACTAATAACTTCTGGACTCATCCAGTATGGAGTTCCTGTGACAGACTTCATTCCTGTACCAGAGAGACAGATAGTCTGCAGTCGTTTGCTGGCACCAAAGTCACCAAGCTTTACGTTGCCTGCTGAATCTCGCAGAATATTCGCTCCTGGAAGGAAGGGAACACAGCATTACATTCATGAAGCCTGTCAACATTTTGGTGTGGAAAATAGTAACAAAAGTTTGGACTCAGTGATACAATGCAAGATCAACCTAGTACTTCAGGCCAGAGAATTTCCTTTCTCTGCTCATTCCTATTACTTTATTCTGAGGTTCAGAAAATAATGAATTGTACACACTGGTTTGCATCCTAGGCCTTTTCCAGGAAGTGCCAGTCACTTTATGTAAAGTCTTCCTGACAAAATAAGGCATGTGCCATATAAGGGAAATAAGAAGTTTCCACACAACTGAAAATGTCTTCATACTATATTAAAGCAAAATCTCACACTGTGTTACAGATTTGTTCAAAACACTTATCTGCATAAGCATGTACAAACTGACCGTGATATCTCAACCTTTTGTGGAACAAAACACTATTGATACAAAGCAATATGAAAATTGTGAAAGTTTTAGGGAATACAACAGTGTCGTGTTCAACACACCTATTCTGCACATCATCATCTTCCTACACACTCATAACTTGCACATGCAGTACTTGCAAGTCACCTTTATCTATCTGCACAAAAGTGACTATGTCTGTTTCCTCAGGTTTCCTGGCAGTGAAATAGAACAAGTCTCATTCATTCGTTCAGGCAAGTCACCTCTGCCAGTGATTTCTTGTACCAGTGAAGTGCTGGGTAATTTCTATATAATTGGTAGAAATGAAACTCTTTTGTAAAAACTTTTGAGTCATGATACTTTCCTCTGCACATTCTATCTACTTGTGCTGACATAACCTTTTGGTATATTCAAAACTATTAATACTAAAATAAAATCAGAAAGAAATATATCATGATTGTTTTGCAGATAGTGACTACAGAAACATTGTCAGAAGTCTGCTAGAACATCACAAAGATGCTTATTTCCACCCCTCACTCAGGTTACAACAGTGACAAGAATAAATGATGGAAAGCAATCTCATCGGTTTAAGTCAGTAGTTTGGCAAACTTAATTACATTTAAGTGCTTCATACAAGACCAGAAAAAAATATACAGTAAAGAGCACCAAACTGTGCACAGAACTATCCTTACCTTTAATATCTCGATGGACAATCATATTACTGTGCAAATAGTGAACTCCTTCCAAAATCTGCCGCGTGTATTTACGAGTCACATTCTCTGTGAGTGCTCCATATGATTTCAATTGGTCTTTGATGGAACCCTATGGCAAGCAAGAAGTATAAAACAATAACATTTCCAGAATCACCAGAATGGGCTAATATTGCAGCTTAACTTCAATGAAATTTATGCCTGAAATGCAGACATTTAAAGTTGCAATACTTCTCTAGATCAGCTTAAAAGCACAGATATAGCTTTGCCTCCACTGAGAAAAATGCAACATCAACAAAAAAGAGGCTGGACAGAGAAACCATTTACTGAAACGTTAAGCTATTAACTTTAAAACTGTCAAGCAGCTGAACAGCTTCAGTGTGAGGTACAGAAAAAGAGCGCAACATATTTTAACTCAAACACCACTCTCAACTTGTTTCATGGTTAAATGGTGATACTCAAGTTGGACAAAACAGATGCCATTTACTCTGTTTAGTTTATACTCAGGAAAAAAAAAGTTGTCAAGAAAAAAACCACCACATGCTGGAGGATGATGCTTTATGTAAAAATGAAGAAGTAAGCAAGTCTAGGCTTAAAATAACATTAAATAAAAATTTCATAGTAATGTAACTATTCCAGAAGCCCCCCAAAACAAAGCCCAGAACTCACTTTAAAAACCCCCAAAACCACAACAAACAAAATAACCCCAAACAACAACAAACTAATTATCTCTGCTGACCCCATTTGGTGAGAAAATGAAGATCTACAGTTTTCTGACCTTACAACATTTCTTAACAAAACAGTAGAACAGTTCAGCATGTACCTCTAGATACCACATAAAAAACAAGCACCAAGATTATTTTCTGTATGTGCTTATTCCCACAGTCATCTTAGCTACATTTTGTTTTCCTGAAATAATTGAGCGCTTGAGATGGTGACTATGCAACAGCTGAAGCGCAGCAGAAAGAAACATTAAAAGTCAGGAAGAGTTTCCTAATGATAATATTGTCTTTTCAAAGACATTGCCAGGCACTTCTTATGCCAAAATCAAATGCAAAGAACTTTTCTACAAACCACTGTAATTTGAAAACCCAAACAAGCAATGGAGCAGACAGGCCGCTGTAAGCACTGGTTTTAACTTGGACATTTCTTTTAATATCTGTGTGCACTTCTGCAAAAGTTGTCTGCTTGGGTGCTTATCACATTGCATAGAAACAATGGTTGAAGTGGACTGTCTCCCTTGCTTACCCCAGGCATATATTCCATGAATATAGAGAGTGTTCTTTCTGGTGGATCTCTCAAGAAGCCATAATACTGAACAATTCTTTCATGCAGCAGATTTTTCAGCAACTGAATCTCACATTCAAGTGCATTTACTTCCTAAAAGAAAAAGACAGACAAGATGTACCATGCTTGATGCAGTAATTATGTTTTGTATTTGGAATTTTTTTAAGCAGGACAGTATGTACGTGCTGACGGGATACATAAACTGAGTAACAAAGTACTCTTGTCGCTTATGTAAAGTTTACACATTTTATAACAAGAAAATATCACTATTAGATTGAGGGAAGTAAAAAAAAAATAAGTATTTTCTATAAATTGTCTTTGGGATGATTTTGCTGTTATTTCACAGATTCTCTTATTTTGAAGTTCTGTTTGTTTCAGAGCACAGCAGATATCTATATGTGTAAAAAATATTAACACATATGGTGCTTTCTCTGGAACTATATGAAATACGGAAAATATGGCAAACAGGAAGTAAGTTTTTGGAAAGACTGTGCAGTAAGATACTGAAAAAATGCTAACCTATGAATCCAAACTTGACTGGATTCCAAATTTCACCCAAAAGTCTCATCAAAACTTACTTTTTAGCCATCACAGACTATTAGTGATACCTTTATACTTCTGACATTAGAAGGAAAATAGGTATTTTTGACATTGAAAGTCGCACATTACAGAACGTTATGGCAAGTGAGGTCACAAAACTGTTGCTACAGAAGAGACTACAGTGTTTTATATTTAACATTTCCAAAGCATAATCAGTTGTTTCGTTACATTTTAAAGAAGTAGTAACAACAACTACACTAGAAATCTACAGCACAAATTATTCTTGGCTTTTTTCCTTGATCCTACATCACTAGTAGCAGCAACTATGGTAGCCACTCGATTCTGCAGTCATGCTTACACCCATTGTTTCCCCGGCCTTGCTCCCCACAGCGCAGAACGCAGTTCTAATGCAGAAAAGTAATAATTCTTTTTCCATCCTGTAAAAAGCGGTGAGTATGGTTTGGGAAAAAAGAAATGGAAGATTGAAGCTATTTTAAAATAGTTTCTCTCCTCAAGTGTCCAGTATTTAAAGAAGGACAAGTCCAATTTTAAAGAAGAGAATAAGCTGACAATGCAACTTTCGCTCTTCAGAGAGAAATACAGTGAATAACAGTAGCGTACCCTGATGCTCAAACACCAAAAAAAAAAACCCCCAAAAGATAAAAAAGGGTAAGAATCTCAAACTGTCTTCATAGTCAAGAAAAATTTATTTGCAGGAACATTTAAATTAGTATAGATTTTTCTGTTTATAAATGGAACTTGTTCTAATACCTATACCAGCGTAAGTATAAATAATTATTTATTTCAGAGAACACTTCATAATGGATTGTTTAATTTAGAGACTGAGACTGCACCAGATTTAGTTACTATGTTCACTGCATAAGGATATGTCTGAAAATTAAATAATGGGATGTAACATTAGAATCAGGTAACCAAACTAATTCTGTGAGGGACTAACAAATCAGAATTCCTAAGAGGGACATGAAAACATAGCAGGTTTTAAAACATCATCCTGTTCAAGAAAAGGAACAACAGTTTAGTCTAGAACACACCACTTCAGCAGAAGCCCTTTATAAACTCTCTCTTTGGTATCACTTACCTTGCTGGTTTCTGGACTATCAGGATCAAACTGAACTTGTTTAACAGCCAGTTCTCTTCCAGTATCAGCATCATAACACAGATATACTCTGCCAAATGCACCTTGACCCAGCAGTTTACCAAGTCTCCAGTTAGTTGGAGCGCGTGGTGCTGAAAATATAAGTATGTTTTGGTTTTCAAATGAGCTTGTTATTCAGATGATCGAGAAAAACTGGAATACACAGAAAATAATTTTTTAAAAGACTACGTTTTCCAACAACAGAGACTGTGTGTCCTAAACCTTCCCATATAAGTTATAAAGACCAATAAAACTTCCTGTAAGATGGATAACATGAGCTACTTAAATTTATTCACAAAATAATTTGTGGTAGAGATAGATATACCTAAAACAACTAGCAACAGCTAACCTGAAAAACAGAAAAAGCATGTTAAACAAACTTAACAATATCTATATTTTTTTTTTTTTTTTAAATCAAGCCATGATTAAAACATACCAGCTACTGAGGTCATCACAAAAAATGTATTTGCTCCTAAAATGCCACCACATATGTAAACCAGTAGCAATTTATGGTCTACAATTTACCAGAAAACTAGACCAACATCTGCAAAAATAAACAGTAACGGGAACCTACATAACCCTTCTCAGGTCCCCAGGAGTCTAACAAATAATCAAAAATATTTTTACAGTGTTTTGTTATCACAGATGCAAATTCCATGTGAAAAATCTATGTGAAAGTTGGCAGAGTAAGCAATGAAAAAAACTGATGAGCATACAGTCCTGACTTTTTCCTATTAGGGAGATAAAAATATATTGTTCAATTGCATGTATTTTGATGAAACCTTTGAAAGGTAAGAGTTTTACAGTGGAGGTCACAAAATGCCTTAACTTACAGCGACTGGGTGGGCTGATGTCCATGACTGACAAGGTAGGATTGTCTATGTCACTTCCCCTTCTCCTCATTCTGTTATCTTCATATTCTGGCGTAAAGACGCTGCTTCCACTACTGGTGCTCAGTGAGTGATCAGTGGGACTGAAACTAACTGGTGATCGGAAGCTGTTCCCCTGAGTCCTTCTGGCTCTTGGAAAAGTTTTACGACCTTCAATGACAGACAATGAATACTAATGTTATGCTACAAAAAAGACTTCTATGCAATGTGTGTATGCAAATACTTTATGAATTCCACATAATGTAGATAAAATCTTCCACAGCATATGATATGATGTAATGATCATGAAATTTACTAGTTTAACTTTCCACCTAGAAGAAAACAAACATTCATCACAGATGTATCTAAGGATGAGATTGAACCAAAAATTGGTTTACATTTAAGTGACCGAAACTGGGACCAAATTCTGGAGCTGTTCTGAAATGTAATTGACATGCTTCAGAAACCTGTAGGGCTGCGAGAGGAGAAAGGAAAATGCCCTGCCTCTACTTTTATTGCTCTACTAAGGTGTAAATACCACTTTTCTGATACATGGGAGAGCGAGAGACACATTCCAGTGGTGCCCAGGCTGGCAACTTCAGCCTGTAAACTACTAAAAAATTGAATACAGAGACCTACACATAGAATCAACAGGAAGACCACAAAAACACTATATATATATA